AAAGATATTTGATCCAGAATAAGAACTTGGTTCTTTCATTCTCGACTCAGTCCTGTAATAGAAAGGACAACACCTGCTATATTCACTTTTATGACTCAATTTTTTTTTTCTCTGTGGTCACTTGGAGAAAACCATGTAGTTTGGGAGATAGAGAGGTTGCCGTATACTCTTGCATATACCGGCACAGTACAGTACTGTACTGAATTTTGATTCTGTCACTTTAACGAAATTAAGGTCACAGTAAGTCCAAACCCACCTATTATGTTTTAAAGGTGTTTCAAGTGTTTATCCTCTTCGATAACGTGTCACAGATGTTTTTTCCAAGAGTTGAAATGGCGGAGGAAAAGGAAGATTGAAGCGAATTATAACATGCAGCTTTGAGTTGCGGAGAAAACTTATACAGCTTCTTGAAAAAAAATTGACGACTTGTTCCCCTTTTTGTTTCTACAGAACAATGTATTGATCTAAAATTAAAAAATACTTCTATCCATACTTTCCTATTTCTGCAAAAATCAACGTGGATATGTTAGTACAGTACTCACATGATAACTTTTTTCGTAGGTGCTAATTCTTCAAAATGAACAATAATATGAACGTAGTTAGGGTCATGGCGCTAAACTGGATTGCAATACTTTTGAAGGATCATCACAACAGCTTATTCTTTTAAACCGTACTTGAGCTGTTTATTTTGAAAATCTTCCCTCTTGTGTTCGGCTATTATTTGTGCATGATCTCACCACTGGACTCATAGAAGAACCTCAAGTATTTTTGCGGTTTTCGAGGTCTACCGACGTGAAAGTCTTAGAAAATGCTAACTTTTCAAGTGAAGTTGATCCAATGCGGAACCATCAAGTGAATCTTGAGATTAAGGAAAATCTCCAGTTTTTCATTCTCGACATCATCGTCCAAAACGTTACCGAAATGAGTGGATCATTGTTCCATGTTCATTTTTGTCGCACAGATTACTAATCACTTCGAAATATCAAGCTGTTAGGTCGATTTTTTTATCCGAGTGATATTCCTCACTTCGAAAATAATTTGAAATTCGAGGAAATCCGGATAGGCCGAAATTTGTTGACTAAGGAAGGTAGTTTGAATTCCTGGTACTGCACTGTACAGTCAAGAAATGTGTAATACTCCAGAATTCCCAACATATCTGAGTTGAAAACATTGTACAGTACAGTGATGGTTCAACCGTGTTTGCGAAATGGAAAACCGTTTCCCAAGCCGCTGTGTCTCTTTCAGATTCGTCCTTGGTTTCATTCTGACTAACTGCGCATCAACCTCAGACTTTACCATTCCGTGTTGGTAGGGCTTCATGTTGCTTCCTTGCGGCCATAAATTATGATCAGAGCTCGTATAATGTGCTATTTATTGATCATTTCATGCTCAAGCTCATGCTCAATTATATACAGTATTGCTTACACTACGTTTTTTTTAAACAACAATCTTCTTGGATAGTAAAGTTAACTCTGATGTTTTTATTCTACAAGATTTATGTCGTTGCTGGGAGAAATACATTTGTGAGGAAGGCGGAAATGAAGCCTGTGCCTTCTTCCAGGAAATATGCTGGTATAGTGATCTTTGAAAAATACTGGGATCGGTGAAAGTTTATTGTCTCTAAATCACTACATTTTTATGAGAATAAATGCTGCGAAGCGTTTTCGAGTAATTATCAATAACTATTCGATCTTTCCAGCAGGATTCCCCTCTCACTAGTCGTGTAGAATTTTGCTGCTTATTGGGTTTTTTTAGAAGCCCATTTCAGTGGGATCCCAAGATAGGGACACCAAAACGTTCGTACGACCCAACTTAGGGACTCTTGAAGCTCCAAAAAATCTGTCCCAACATTCAGACAATTTCCTGAGCTACGGGCATGGACAAAATTTCTAGGAAGGTGGAAAATTTCGCATTTTTAAAAATTTTGATATTTTTTTTAACAAATTCAGCGAATCATGTACACAAAAATCAAAATAAATCGTACTGTTGATGTAGATGACGTCATAATCCAGAAAAGGCCAATTTTGTGCTTCTCCTTTTAGCGGTTTTCCCATCATTTCGGCACAGTATTACAAAAAATGTCCTTGTTCTTCACTTTTTCGGCTCATTTTCATGCCAAAAGTGGGTTTTCTTCTGCACAGCTATTTTTGAATTTTGAAATTGAGGAAAACATTTTCATTCAATTTTTGGAGACTTTTTCCAATTTGTTTTTAAAACAAGAGATCCAATAATTGGATGTGTTCCCGTTGGTCTGTGGTAAAACGTGATATGACATACAGATGTTCTGACAGAGGGACAATGTCCAAGAACCAATTACGTCCGCATCTCGGTGTAATTTTTTATAAAACGCCTTGGCTGCATTGGCAGGGATCCGTTGAAGCATGTTTATTTATTATGAGCTTTCCATTTGATGCATTTTTTTTTCGCAAGATCAAGGACACGCGTGTCTTCGGGGAGTCGACACTTGTTACGGACGACATACAGAGTGTGTATACGCGGATGTGTTCCGTGACGTGTCGTTAACCTTGCGGAGTAATTGCTCCGAATGAACCGTGTCGAGCAGGGCCCGGGTTTCCAGAACTGCTCCTGGCACGGACGGAACATTTCAATTAATCTCGTCGCGACAGGATAACGCCGCCTCGGAGGCGACGCCGCCCGCGTTTCTATATCTTCTCTTTTTATCCGGGTCGTCGCCGACGACAGCGGGGTCGGCGATTCAGTGCACATAACCAGCAGTGCGCCAGAGTTACACTGCAGAGAGATTGCCACTGCGAACGAGCTATTTTTGCGCCATTTCTCATCTCTTCTCCGTCGCTTGAACATGTCTGCTTTCTTGCACCATCTCTGTTCCATTTTCATTCAGGGATAGAAGAAGTTGTTCTGGCTTTTCCGTGAGGAGATTTTAACCCATTTCTTCTGCAATTTGTCTCATTCCTGTCTTGCGGCTTCGTTTGAATATTCAACTATCTGTATATAGTTGTATCTTGGCGAGGAATGATGATGGAATAACGTTAGAAGTGTTGTCGAGATGAATGTGCCACTTTTTTTTTCTGTGAAGACGTCTCGCCAACTTATGTTTGTTCAGGGAGAACTTGGTTCTCGTTCTGATTTTTCGGTTAAAATTTAGAATTGCATTCAATTGACTTCAGCAATTATTCAAATAATACATTTGAAAAAATTGAAAGGTTATGCGATTTCTCCAATTTTCATAATTGGCAAACGTTTTAGCCTCGCCTTGATTTGTATACTTTAAATTCTTTGCACATGACCAGTTCTGAAATTTTTGAAATTAAGTCCACCTTCTTAAAGTTGAAGATAATTCTTTGCTGATGATCGGTAACATTAATATTTCATCGATGGCTATGCAGAAGTACGTGAAAGCAGCCAAGTTGATGATCAAATGCATGAAAAATAAGTCCTAAAAATTCGTTTTCATTCACGGGACCAAGTTTGATTACAGGGATTTTTGTTGTAAACGAAAGAAAATTAGTGCGTTGTGCTCTGGCTTATTTTCACGTTGGCAACAAGCATTACTGGTCACTTGGAAGCCATATTTCAAAATAAATGCTGCATTTGAGTATTTTTCATGCGTTAACCTTCCGTTGATCTCTGATGGCCGAAATTCGTTCAAGAAGTGAAATATGTAGAATATTTGTGGTGATACAGTACTGTTTTTACTGTTGTGTATATATTTTTTGGTGTGCTAAATGATCGGTTATCCTTCTTTTCAGAAAAGTGCATAAATTGTGCTTTTTGTGAAAGATGGGACTGAAAACGTTTTTCGGTCTCGCGGAGTTTCACGCGTTATCGGCCCTTGTGTTGATGTCGTTGGTGTTTCCGTCTATGGATGCTGTCGACGAGAGCAAAACGTGAGTATTGTGAAATTTTCGCATTCTTGATTGCATTTTCCCCGCAAACTTCGTGTTTTCTCTGCGCTCTTGAGAAACTAGGGTAAGATTTTGCTTCATGCTGATCTTATGCGTTTGTCTCGAATCTGTCGGAGGATGGAAACTGTTTTTTTTTTCATTTCTTTCTGAACTCTACTTCGGAAACTTTCTACAAAGTCCATTTACCCCTGAGAAGTTTCGTGCTAGAAAATATGACTCGTTCAAATCCCAGTAAGGGGTGCGACTCGCCTCTGAAAAGAAGGTCGTTGGTGCTTAATACATCAAGTTCTCTTGCTGGAAGATACTGAAGCACCGAGCGTAAGTTCTTTTCATATTTCTAACCTTGCTAGAGAAAGAGACTTCTGGCTCTTGAGTGCTGGTCCTCCTGACTTCTGAAATCCCGCTTTGGACCTGCCAAATTGAGGGAAAGTCTATGGAAAGTGGTCTCTCGAGTCCTTGAAAACTTGCTGCGCACTATTTCACATTGTCAAAGTAAACACGGTTACGAGATCAAGAATATTTAAAAAATTCGCTCGATACCGTCGAGTCGAATGTATGAAAATACTTCAGAGATAGTAGAACTTCTATTACGGGTATCTGAAGTAATTGAGGGTGCCTTTCCTTGAAGATCAAATATAAACGATCATCACACATTTCAAAAATTATATTCAAGGGATGAGATTTTTGTTTAAGGAAGTTCCAACATAATACTGTAATATAATACCAGCATTCATGCGACTCTCTGAAAGCATCATTCCGGATACTAAAAATTCCATAGCGGATGATCAGTTATTGAGAAAATTTGATTCATCGGTGAAAAAAATAACGTGATTTAATGATAGAAATTGAACGATCCAGCAATTTGAATTATTCCAAACGAGAGTTCAGCCGATCAAATGGAAATGAAAGACGTAACTTGAAATTTAATTTGTTGCTTTGTTTTGTTTTTCAAGTGAATCAAAATTTACAGGATTAACGGATAGTGGAATGCACTGCGAATTTCTGCTCATTTATTTTCAAATTTCTTCATTGCTCATTCTTTTTTTTAATAAAGAACTGTAGAAAAGTTATTTAAACTCAGAGATGCGGTAAGAAAAAACGGTAAAATTTGTTGTTCGAAGGTGAGGAAAGACGCGAATAGAATTGTATGTGTGTTGTGTTTTGTTAGCGGTTATGTGTTTTTAAGATGAAACTGTTTCAGGATTTATGAAGCGGCTCTCGCGCTTTGTTAAAAATACGCATCCGGTAAAAAGGAAGCGAATTAAATTAATTACGTCGACGCTGATAAGATCATCCTCATAAAGGTTGGCAATACCCAGGGTTTTAGCCTGTGAGCCGCAAAATCAATAAGCGTACGACAACAGTATGAAAATACTTCAGAATTAGTAGAACTTCTATTACGGGTATCTGAAGTAATTGAGGGTGCCTTTCCTTGAAGATCAAATATAAACGATCATCACACATTTGAAAAATTATATTCAAGGGATGAGATTGTTGTTTAACGAAGTTCCAACATAATACATAATACTGTAACATAATAACAGCATTCATGCGACTCTCTGAAAGCATCAATCCGGATAATAAAAATTCCATAGCGGATAATCAATTATTTAAAATATTTGACTCATTGGGGAAAAAATAACGTGATTTAATGATAAAAATTGAACGATCCAGCAATTTGAATTGTTCCAAACGAGGTTTCAGCCGATCAAATGGATGAAAAGACGCAACTTGAAATTTAATTAGTTGCTTTGTTTTGTTTTTCAAGTGAATCAAAATTTACAGGATTAGCGGATAATGGAATGCACTGTGAATTTCTGCTCATTTATTTTCAAATCTTCACTGCTCATTATTTTTTTTAATAAAGAACTATAGAAAAGTTATTTAAACTCAGATGCAGTAAGAAAAAGCGGTCAAAGTTGTTGTTCGAAGGTGAGGAAAGACGCGAATAGAATTGTATGTGTGTTGTGTTTTGTTAGCGGTTATGTGTTTTTAAGATGAAACTGTTTCAGGATTTATGAAGCGGCTCTCGCGCTTTGTTAAAAATCCAAAATTTTCAAAACTTAGTGAAAAAATACATTTTATAGTTGGCAGTACTGGGGTTGGTCGTTATCTCAGAGCTTTGCCCGGATGATTTTAGAACTCGTCATTCACGATATAATGAGAAAATTATTTTTTCCGGTATTCGGAGGCGGTTGTCTACCTATGGAACTGATACTTTTCCTGCGGTTTTCGGATTCCTGAATGAATAATCGTGCATTTTTTTTTCGTGGTCGTGAAGACCGCGCGGTGGTTTGCATAATGAGCCCTCGGGCAGGCGAGTCGAGATTCTCTTCATTGTGCGACTCATTTTCCGAGCCCGCGGGGACAATTGCATATCATTCCACGCCGGGTCCATCCCTGCTCTGGCTGGAGGACTTGCGGTTGCGGGGCGGTCGTCTCATCCGTGGCGCCGTCGTCCATATTCATGAGTCTGTCCTGGACTATGGGAAGATGCTGACGATTCCTCAATTTTTACTGCCCTTCACTATTCGACTGAGACCCGGATTTGTTTCCGGGTCTCTTGAGGTGTACTGAACCCGCAATTATCGAGTCCAGCCCGCGGAAGGACCTGGAGTAATGTATTTCTGTTGTTGTTTTTCGAGGAGTCTCTCTTGCGCGAGTTCCGAAATTAAACATCACAATAGTCGTAGGGAAAAAAAAGTGTAATTTTCAGATGTTCTTATTAACGAAGAGGCTTTTTCACAGAAACCTGTCCATCACAGAACCATTTCTGGAATCGATTTATATGAAGAATATCAAAGCGACGCAGGTAGAATAGTATCTCGTTTAATTTTCCTCCGATGTTCAGCTGAAACCTCGATTGTTCCCTAGAAAAATGTGACGCGTACTGAACCCCTTATTTCTCGAGGCCAACCCCCAAGATGAGTTATTCATGTTATTGAGTCTCTACCGTTGATGCGATGATTCTCAAGTGAGGCTTCTCATTAATGTTCTTTCATGAATGATGGAAAAAATCCGACGCTTGGTTGAACTAGACTTACTAGAGATTTTTTATTGTTTTTTTTTTAAGTTCCAGGGACTTCTTATGATCAATTTCCGCCGAGGAAAACCCTCTTTTTGAATGGATTTCCGTGATGGAGACCCGTTGGCATACCCTCCGTTAAGCAAGGTATTTTACAGGGTCCGAAAAACTAGAGCATCCCATCTTGAAAGCATTTCAGCTTGGATTACGTGCATGGATTCTCATTCATTTATGAAAATAATGAAAAATTGATTTCCTATTCGGCGACGACGCGTTTTTTTTTTTGTGCACTTTTTATTTGTTTCGAACTCACAGTTCATGAAAGCAGAGCTGTACACGAATAATTATTTTTTCAGGAGACACTTCCTATTTGAGGATCTTTAGAGTTTTTCTGTTCCCTGGTTTAAAAAAAAGTGAGAATACCCTCGAACTGATGAAACCCAGGTATGTGTGAAATTTTTGAATCAAACAATGATTTGCTTTTAAAACATTCAAAACTCTCCTAGTCATCACGAAGATTCTTGTTAAAACATTTTTAAACATGTGTTCCATTGATGCAAGACATCGACCGTAAACTGTTCTGAAATCAGCTCTCAAAACCATATACGCGACGATAGATTGATAACGAAACCTACGCATGAAGTGATTTTTCTCTCGAGCGAACGTAGCGTGAGGCATTAAAACATCCACCATAATCGTCTCAAATGTGGTTTAATACCGCATCGAACCGTTCGAACGATTCATTTCATTTCGACAATCGATTGTGTTGTTGAACAATAAATAACTGGTGAGTAGCCAATCCAGAAAACTTCAGGAGACGTTGCTATCTCTTAATTTACTTTTCCTATGCATGTTCTGAGTTTTCAAAGGTTTATGCCGAAGATCCTTTTACAAGTCGTCTAGGTTCCAATATATTTATTCTTTCTTGTCTTCGCCCAAAATTATTGATGATGAATACGTTTATTCGCGGGCTTGAAAGCGATTTATTTCTCTTTGGACTTCGAGCACCAATGTCTTGCAATCTGCAGATGCTGAGAAGTTTGCGAGTTCATATTTTACTCAAGGTTCCATACCTGAATTCAGCAAGGGGAAGTAAGGCAGTAACTTCTGAGGAAAATGACAAGCTTCAGCAGTGCACTAATGAAATGTTGAAGTACCTTTGCTGTGCAAGGTAATCTCCGTCGTTGGAAGACTTCCGCTTTTTTTTCTCCCTCGAAGAAAATAACCGGAACTCCGTTCGAGTCGTAAATTGAATGAGTCTTGATACTGTCGCAAATTTTCATGCTCACCCCGGTATGGCATCATAAATTATAAGAAAATGGCTTCTTGAGATCCTTGGCCATGGAACGGCTTCGCCCGCGAGACAAAGGATATGAGCAGTAGATGGCCGTAAATTTATCTTCTTCCGGGGGGGGGGGGGGGGGGGGGGAGGATTTACGCGATGCGAGGAAACTCGCCGCCAGTGCTGCGATGTGTGCAGAAGCTGTCAGAAGTAAGCGGGAAAAGTTCTCCGGGATTTTTTTCCCCGTCCGCGGGCAATTAGCGCGTCGAGCAATCCTGCCGCAATTATCCGCCGTTCCTAAGTTCCGGTTCCCACCCTTCTCCGAGTTTGGGCTCTTCTTGTCTTCCTTCCTGCTTCCGGTCTGTGGGACGTACCCGCTGCACACTCCGAGGTTTCGTCTTGTCTTCTTCTGTCGTCGAACTTTTTTGGGGAATCGTCTCAGAGCACGGCTTTTCAATCGGTGGAAATAATTCCTCGTGGTTTGTTCCCGGGCAACTGAGGAATGGTGCTCCGGATTTTTCTGCTGGGGGTCAAGGACAATGTCGCACAACGCTTGCTCATTGTATATTTAAAAAATATATACAGTATTAGGATAGAATCGCACATGCACCAGAGCAGGAATATTCAATTGGGGTTACGGAGTCTCCCGGTATACGAGTATGGCGAACAAAGTTTGTATGAAAACAAATTTTGTATTTGATGCCAGCAGCGTAGCCAGGGTTTCGAACTACCGGTGTATTTTTTATTAAGTGAATATCTTCTGAAGATTAAGTGAATATCTTCTGAAGATTTATAGCTCAGAAGATCAGGAAGAAAGTACTGGTCTGGATATACAGTATCTGCAAACGAGAATTTCATACAGCCTCCAGATTACGTCTTTCGATCTGAATCCACAGCGAATACTGTACTGTACTCGGAAGAAGCATTTCTCTTAAGAGAATCGAGAGAATCTTGGTGTTTTCTTTTGTCCAGATAATTCGAAGATCATGGTGGATTCCTTTTCTGCCAATTTTGACAAGTTGTCTGTGTTGACATTTGTTTTGAAGCTGTTCAATGTAAAGCTGAATACAGTACGAGTAATAAGTGGTAGGATTGTCCGGTCATAGAGCATTTGCTTGGTAGACACTCTTCGCCGAAACGAACGATTAATTGCACAGCCCACTTTGCTAGGAATCGCCAAGTATTTTTGTGAAAGTTTCTGCCGCATTTGCATGTCGTCATTTGACGAATTACTTACCCGCTGTTGAACCAAAAAGATTTTAAATCATGCTAAAGTTCCGAGGTCTTATTTATAGAGACGTACAGTATGCACTTCCCCCTAGATCTTAATGCACTTGCTTGAACAGTAGGTATTCTCAACATTTACTTTGATTGCACGCGTAGTTCATCCGTGAAGTTTCAAATTTCGTTTTTAAATTTTGAATAGCTTTGTCGTGGCTCATTCTGGTTTGAACTCGATTCAATAAAAATTTGTGGACATTCTGCCGAAAATCAAGGGAAATAATCGACGTATCCGTTAACTTCCAAAATAAGAATTTGGGAGCCGATGGGAAGAAGTATTGTTGTGAAACAAATCTTCAGAAAATCAGCTTTCGCAAGGAAATGTCTTGAAATGCGGTCTTCTGTGCTGCCGTGTCTTCAAACTTAAACTGAGGGAAGGGGATTTTATGATTGTTGTCGATCTCTAAGGAATTGTGCAATGATAATTTTTTTTAGTCTGCGAGTGGTTCTGCGGATTTTTCAGGTCCGTACTGCGCGCTTGTTCGCTGAATCATACAACATAACTGCGGAATCATTGAAAATTAGCAGAAATCTCGCTTTCGAATCCCTCCAGGACAGGAAAGTTGTCTCAAGTTGACGGAAAGCGTCGATTGAAGTAAAATACTGCAGTTTTAGCTTGGATTTGACCGATGGTTGGCTGCATTCGAGGACAATGTTCGGTTATTACAGAATTTTGCACAGATTTCCTCGACATTTGTGTAGGCTTGAATCTTTCACGAATGACCGTGAATCAATCGCGTGATTTTTGCTTACTTTCTTATTTTAGCAAGTGTGTTGCAAAATAGTTAACCACTAAGGACCTTCGATTTCGATCAACGCTCGAAGGATACCGTTTTCTCACCGCCGACTATTATCAAAATTTGACAAAGTTAGTGCATAAGGCGCCCGATTTTTTTTTTCGTGTGTCGGGTCAATCAAGATTTGAAGCTGGCCAATGAATTGTTCAGTTTACGAGCTAGGATCATGTTCAAAGAATGCGTCTCCGAGTCAGCTATCGAGTACTAGATACAATTCAGTACATTCTTTCCACAAAAAATGGAAATTTATTGATAGGTACACATTTAAATTGAACCTTGCTAAGGTGGATCACTTTTTTAAAAGTACAGTAGTATTTAAAATTCTTGGAATTGGTTATTAATGAAGGCCGACGTATTACAGTACAATTCAGTACCTTGGAATGCGCCCATCATCATTTCAAAAAAATAAAAAGCCCATGAAGAAGTATCAGGAGGATTTAATTTCAAGCCCTTATGTCAATGGTACTGCGTCCTATTGTACACGGGCTAAAGGAATCCTCGTTTAATGGATTTTTCGAAGAACGGGCGGATGCTGCCCCCAATATTTTCTTCAGATATTGGATCTTGTTTCGGATATTAAGCTGCGTTAAACGTGTGCGCATTGAAAAAAAATCAAATGTGTCGTACTGTAAGAAATGAAACTGCCAGGATCACGTCTCAATTGGTTGATTTTTTTAGTAAAATATTCTGAATTGGTTGGCCCAATTTTTTCTTCGTCTCTGAGCGTTCTTGGTGCTTTTCATGACATTTTGTGTTACGTGGTTAAATTTACAATACAGTATTAAACTTTCAGGAATTAATGAAATATTTCCGGTGGATCGGGATTTGGAAGAATTTCCCATTTAGCCATTCTGCGTTTTTTTAATTACGCTGATTTTTTTTTAGTTTGCAAAATTGATTGTTAGCTCTGGCGAATCTATTCCATTAATCGTGAAACCGCATCATACTAGATGCATTCGATTCTGCAGTGGTGGTGATCAAGTTCAAAGCCCATGGCGTTTCAAGGAGCGCTAATCGGTACAAGAATTGCATGGAAGGTAATGGAAATGTCACCTGAAGAGATTGGAAAGATGACAATACAAACAG